ACGCCACTAGTCCCTTCAATGGCTTCCCATACGACTTCCTCTTCCACCAACGATCCTATTACTATCCAAAATTCTCAAGATCCTCAACATCCTCTCCTTACAATAAATCTCTCCAATATCACCAAATTGTCATCCACCAATTATCTCACATGGAGCCTTCAAATCCAATCTCTTCTTAAAGGTTATGATCTTCATCACTTTATTGATGGCACTCAAACTCCACCACAACCCACCATCACCGTCAATGGTGTTACATCTCCAAATCTGGCGTACACAACCTGGAAGCGTCAGGATCGTCTCCTTTTTAGCGCTCTCCTTGGTGCCATATCCGTTTCATTGCAACCGCTTATTGCCCACACCACCACTTCCCTTGATGCATGGCAAACCTTAGCTAATACCTACGCCAAACCATCTCGTGGTCATATTAAACAATTGAAGGAACAATTAAAGCGGTGTAACAAGGGCTCAAAATCAATTAGTGAATACATGCAAGCGATAAAGACTCGTGCCGATGAACTTGCTCTTATAGGGAATCCAATTGATGATGAGGATCTTATTGATCGGGTTCTAGAAGGACTAAGTGATGAGTATAAATCTGTCATTGATGCCATTAATGCCCGTGACACGTCAATTTCTTTTGCTGAACTTCATGAGAAACTTCTCAACAAAGAAACATCTCTTCAGACCGCTCAACCACCTTCCCTATCACTACCAGCCACGGCAAATCCCACGGCTTTTCGGAATCGTCCAAATTGGCGTCCACCAGCCACCAATTCACAACAATCAGGCCCTACCACTATACTTTCTCCTCATGATCAACGCCAACCCAAACCTTATTTGGGTCGTTGTCAAGCATGCGGCACTCAAGGACACACTGCCAAACGATGCCCGATGTTTCGGCTTGTCAATAATCAACAATCACCAGCATCTCGTCCTCAAGGCTCTCAGGGATATCGCCCTTCCACACCCTGGCAACCACGAGCCAATCATACTATTCTGGGCAACAACACTACACCTACTTGGCTGCTGGATAGTGGAGCATCTCACCACGTTACGTCTGACTTGAGCAATCTCTCTCTTCATAGCTCGTACCAAGGATCTGATGATGTCATGATTGGCGATGGATCGGCCCTTCACATAACCCATACTGGTTCTACCACCATACCAACTTCCTCTCGCACCTTTACTTTACAAAATGTCCTTTGTGTCCCTTCCATGAAAAAGAACTTAATTTCGATTTATCAATTTTGCACTCATAACCATGTTTCTGTTGAATTCTCACCCTCTGCTTTTCAGGTGAAGGATCTAAACACGGGGACAATCCTTTTGATGGGTGAACCTAAGGATGGCGTATATGAGTGGCCGACTACATCCCCTTCAGTTTCCTCTTCACCATTGCTTGCATTTTCCAGTGTCAAGACCACTTCGTCCGAGTGGCACTCTAGACTAGGTCATCCGTCATTTACTATTATGAAAATATTGTTTCCAAATTTCCTTTACCATTGTCTAGTCCGTTATCCTCCTTCACACATTGCAATGCATGTTCATGCAATAAAAGTCATAAAATTCCATTTTCTTCTTCTACCTTAACTTCATCTCACCCGCTTGAACTTATCTTTTTTGATGTCTGGACCTCTCCTGTTTATTCTGTTGATGGTTTTCAATACTATGTTATTTTTGTTGATCATTATACACGATATATTTGGTATTATCCCCTTAAACGAAAATCTCATGTGCACGACGTCTTTGTACGTTTCAAGGCATTAGTCGAAAACCAATTTAAACACCGAATTATTACCCTCTATTCAGATAATGGTGGTGAATATCAAGCCCTTGATCGTTTTCTCTCCACCAATGGTATATCACATCTTACTACACCACCCCCCATACACCAGAACATAATGGTTTTTCTGAACGACGTCATCGACATATTGTTGAAACAGGTCTATCTCTCCTTACTCATGCATCAATGCCTTTAACTTATTGGACTTACGCCTTTGCCACTGCTGTATATCTCATCAACCGTATGCCCACACCCACACTACATTTTTCATCTCCTTTTGAGAAACTCTTTGAGTCTCAACCCAACTACACTAAACTTCGGGTGTTTGGTTGCTTATGTTATCCGTGGCTTCGTCCTTATTCTCAGCACAAACTTGACTCTCGTTCCACTCCTTGTGTTTTTCTTGGCTACTCTTTAACACAAAGTGCATATATCTGTCTCGCTCTATCCACTTCTAAAATATACATTTCTCGTCATGTCAAATTTCTTGAAAACTCATTTCCCTTTAGCACTCACCAATCCATCTAGCGCGTCCCACCCCAGAGATCATTTCCAAATGGCTATCCCCGGTCCAAATTTTACCAATTTCAAGTGGCTCACTCAATACGCCTCCACAAAGGGATTCCTCATGTCAACATCCGTCACAAAATACCCAAATAGACCACTGCCCTTCCTCATCAGTCGACCGTCGATCCCTATCCATAGACCTCCCTTTACCCGAACACAGCTCGGTTAATCGCCAAGAAACCATCGTCGACCATTTACAACTAGAACCACACAATTCTGAGACCTCTTCTGCTTCAATCATAGCGCAACCCACCCATCAAAATACCCATCCCATGACCACTAGATCGAAAAACAACATCCATAAACCCTAACCAAAATAAACCTCACTGCTATCATTTCTCAACCATCAGACATTGAGCCTCATACTGTTTCTCAAGCCCTAAAAGATCCCAAATGGAGACAAGCTATGAATGATGAGTTTGATGCTCTTGTTCGGAATGAAACTTGGGAGCTTGTTCCATCTACTTCTCTGCAGAATCTTGTTGGATGTAAGTGGGTCTTTCGTATTAAACGGCTTCCTAATGGTTATATTGACAGGTACAAAGCTAGATTAGTTGCCAAAGGCTTTCATCAAATACCTGGAGTGGATTATCATGACACTTTTAGTCCGGTTGTCAAGCCGACAACAATACGACTTGTTCTAAGCCTGGCAGTCAGTAGAGGTTGGCAATTGCGACAATTGGATGTTAATAATGCCTTTCTTCAGGGCCATTTCCGAAGATGTCTACATGGCCCAGCCTCCAGGATTTGTTGATAAAGACAATCCAACACATGTATGCAAACTAAAGAAGGCAATATATGGACTCAAGCAGGCCCCACGGGCTTGGTACCTTGAACTTCACCAATTCCTCATTGAGTCTGGGTTCACAAACTCTCAAGCAGACACTTCCCTATTTATTCTTCACTCAGGTGACACTACTATATATCTACTTGTTTATGTGGATGACATTATTATCACAGGCACCAACACCAATATTATTCAGCGCTACATTGACCTCATGGCACAAAGATTTTCAATCAAGGATCTTGGCACATTGTCTTATTTTCTCGGCATTGAGGTTCTAACTACTCCATCCGGTCTGCTGCTTACTCAAAGGCGCTACATCACTGATCTTCTTGCCCGGACAAAAATGATTGGTGCAAAACCTGTTGCTACACCACTTGTTACAGATGGAAATCTTACACTTCATTCAGGTACAGCTCTAACTGACTGCACAGAATATAGAACAATTGTTGGCAGTCTACAGTATCTTTGCCTCACTCGCCCAGACATAGCATATGTTGTCAACAAGCTTTCTCAATTCATGCATCGCCCGACGTCTGAACATTGGAATGCTGCAAAACGACTGCTTCGATATCTATGTGGCACATTAACTCATGGATTATTCCTTCACAAGGCAAATCCACTTTCCCTTCATGCATTCTCAGATGCTGATTGGGCTGGAAACAAATGATTATACCTCAACGAGTGCCTATTGTCTATCTTGGTCGTCATCCTATTTCTTGGTCATCCAAGAAACAACGTACAGTTGCTCGATCCTCCACGGAGGCTGAGTATCGATCAGTTGCCGCTACTACTTCTGAACTCAATTGGATTTGTTCCCTTCTCACAGAACTTGGCATCACTCTTTCTACACCGCCTGTTATCTACTGCGACAATGTTGGTGCCACCTATCTCTGTTCTAATCCAGTCTTTCATTCGCGCATGAAACATGTGGCACTTGACTATCACTTTATTCGGGGTCAAGTTCAATCAGGTGCTCTTCGTGTTACTCATGTTTCCTCAGCAGATCAACTTGTCGACGCTCTTACCAAACCGCTTCCACGAAGCCGATTCCAAGATTTAAGGGTCAAGATTGGTGTCTCCTCCGGAGCTCCATCTTGAGGGGGCATATTAGAGAATTAATTATAATAGATTTTATCTATATTTTAAATTATTGTAATCAATTATAATATTCTTGTAATTAGTTGTAATCCCCTAACTCTAGGCTAGTCTCCTATTTTTATGCCTTGTAATTAGTTGTAATCCCCTAACTCTAGGCTAGTTTCCTATTTCTATGTGTCCAATTTTGTGTATATATATTCACTCTTAATCAATGGAAAACTCAAGCCATTGTTTCTCATTACTCTTCTCTCTATTTCAACACCCATTACTTGTTCCACTAACGTTAGGGATGTAGATTTTCAAATATCATATATTATTTAAATTTGTCACACCTCTTGTATATTTTATATATAAGAATATTTAATTAAGTAGGGACCGAATTAAAGAATGATAATTCAATGTTCTCGATTTTTTTATCTAATAATAATTTAGTTTAAATATTAAATAAATTAAAAATTGTCTTCTAAATTTTAAATTTAAATACCTAATAAGCTATTATATGTTCTTTAAAATTTTTAAATATATAAATATATTTAATTGCAGGGCTATTTTCATGTTCAAAACAGGAAAGTTTTATTACCAGAAACAGAGGATTACAGCTATTTTTTTACCTCGCGAGATGATTAAATTAAAACCAACAAAAGATAGGGAAAAAAAGAACATAAAAAATAAAGAATAAAAACAACTTATTCGGCCCCTAAGCATCAAGCTGAGTGCATCTTGAACACATAGAGAGAAACCCTAAACCATTGAAACTATTTCACATCCCAAAACCCTTCATCCATTCTTTTTCAGAACCTGTGTTGGCACTCGGCCGGAGTACCTTGAGGAAAACGTTTCAAATCGGTACAATAGTTGTAAATCATGAAGTACTTTTGAACCCATCTCAATCTGCGTCTCCCCGGTGCATCGAGCTCGTTGGTCTCCCATGCACCGTCGGAAACCGAGTTCTTCGTCGTGGCACAGGACGAACCGGTTCCCGACCACACACAAGCGTTGGCATTGAAGTTCCTATAGTACGCGGTAAAGGGTGCCTTTGTCCAATCGGTTTTCACCAATCCGCCCCTCGTGGCCCAATCGTCGGCGTTCCACAGGCTCGAGTATATCCTCATGGGTTGGCTCTTGGGGAACGGTACACCGATTGCTTCGGCGTTTTTGAATACTCTGATGGGAATTTTATCCACCAAGAAACTGACAAAACATAACAACATTAACAACTGTGTTTTTTTTTAGGTAAAAAGACATTATTGGTGGGTGTGGGGTGCTCTTACATTATGTGTTGGGGCTTCCAAATGATGGAATATGTATGGAAGTTTCTTGTTGGGTCGAACCATAGATAGAATTGTTGTTCTCTGTTCCCTTTGCCTTGTGTGAAGACATTGGTGTGCAATATGTAGGGGTCACCACTAAGATTCCCCAAGAATTCAAAGTCGATCTCATCATGCGTTGGTCCTTGAGAAGACAGCTGCAAACAAACAAACAAAAAAACAACATTTAAAAAACAATTTTTTTCTCTTACATGCATGCATGCATACATATGCGATATGTCAACATACATAATAAGCAGTAACCGTGCCAGCCGAGTTGCCAGCCACGAGCTTGAGCTGCATATCGATTCTCCCGAACAAGTACTCTTTCTTAGACTGAAAACCCGACCCCGAAACCTTGTCCAACGACAAAGACAAGAGCTTCCCACCATTGAAAATCTTGCCCCTTTTGTCACCCCATGTTAAATCGAAATTCTGGTAAAAATCACCACCATAGGCAACGAAGAACAAACAGTTCATGACCAGACAAGCCATGAACGCCATTGAAACAACACCAGAACAAGAACCCATATCTGGAAACTAAAGAATGAATGAGAGAGGAGCTGAAGAAGATAGCTCAGAGAGGGTGATTTATATAGGAGAGATGGGTATGGAGGTGAGGCAATAATAAGTAAAGCTGGTGACAGCTTAGCATAAAATAAGAATCAAAGCTGGAAGTTTGGAAGCTTTTGTTTTGAGCGAAAACATTTTTCTTGGGTTTCAGCGAAAATGGAAATTAAAGTATATAAATAAAGGAAAAGAATTTTAAAAAGGGAGTTTTGATTTGGAATTTTGTGAGAGAAACTATGTCCAATGATGGTGTTTCTAGGGAAATAAGCTAAAGGGTAGGGGTCCCTTCACTATGATTTCCTTGCTTATTGGTTGTGGATGACAACTCGGTTCCTGCATTGGGGAATCGGTGTTTTAGTATGCCACGGTGGACACTACTTATACTGTCGGGTAAACTACGCATTTAATGCCTAAACTATTAGTTTTAGTTTATTTTAGTATCTAATCTTTCAATTATTTCAAAATCATACTTAACGTTTAGTTTTTGTTTTATTTTAGTATCCTCTTAAAAACTTAACGTTAATTTTTGAAAAAAAATTAAAAATTTAGGTACAATAATGGACCAAAACTAATAGTTCAGGTACTAAATGCATTAAGTTTTTAACGACTGGTACTAAAATGAAACAAAAAGTAAATGTTATGTATGATTTTGAAAAAATTAAAAGTTTATGTATTAAAAATGATCAAAACTGATAGTTTAAGTACTACACGTGTAGTTTACCCTATACTATATTGTTTATCCTTTCATCTTTGTCATATGTCTAATATAGTACTCTCTTCGTTCCATAATTTGTGTTCTATATTGACTATGCACATAATTTATGAGATGTATTAGACTAAAAGAAATGACAAAATTATCCCTAAACTATGATCGATAGGTTTGACATTTTTATTTTGGTAGGTGTAACAGAGTGAGACATATAAGGGTTAAAAAGGAAACATAAGTATTGTCGTTTGTTGATTTTTCTAATATGACATTTTAGATGAAATACTTTTGAAAACAAAAAAGACACATTTCATGGGATGAAAAGTAATATCTGAGTAGGAATCAATAGAGGATTAACGAGAGCGATCACTTCTGAAAATTTTAAGTTTTTTTATTAACAATATCTCTTAAAATGTTACACATTAGTCTTCTGAAATTTTATAAATTATAAAATCTTACGTGGGGCCATTTATCTTAACTATTATCAATTGATTGGGAATTCTACTTTTTGTTGGTCAAATTGTTCTTTTAGCCCCCCTACAATACTCAAATGAAGAAATTAATTCCACGCCATAAGATTTGTTACCTTTCAACTTGGGAATAGCCCTTAAAACAATAAAGAGAGTCACGAGAACACTAGGTTTTGTTGTTAATATCTGATCCACAATTGATTTTGACCTTTGTGCATGGTTTATTTTGTATCTATATGCTTCACAATTCAAATTCTTGGATAAGTTCTTGCCGTTGTTTTAAACCCTTAAACCAATCAACATACCAATAAAACAAGTTGAGAAGTTGAAGGAAAATCCTTACTCAAGATTATGATTGAGAGGTCACATTTTTATGTTCGGGTGTTCGATTGAGATGAGTTATTTTTAAATTCGTTTAACTTTTCAAGATCCATGCGCTCGTAATACGTCGACGGCCCATGTTGCCGTTTTCGTCTCGAAAAATATCGTTTTGATCTTAATATTAAACTTTTATCGATAATTTTAGATATTTTTTAATACGTTATACTTGAAAATCTATTTTTTAACAAACATTTATCATTATTTATAAGGATTCAATAGATGTAATTTTCTAAAAAGTTTTTAAATTTGTTATTTTAGTCTATGTAGTTTTAATTTTATTTCCATCTGGTCATTATGGTTTGAACAAAAATTACAATCGAATCGAAGTCGTCAACAACTGTCACCGATGACAACATTACAATTCAGTAGGGGTGTTCAAACCGAATTTTTTTCTCCATTAACCGTTAACCAAACAGATTCTTTTCTAAAAAATTTAACCGAATCGAATTAAGTTCAGCTAATTGATCGGTTAACTGAAATTTATAAATAATATGTATTATATATACACAACTTTAAATAAGAAAATCGTATAAAATGAAATATTTTCAATTTCAAATGTGACTGAAAAATTATTTAAAAAAAAACAGTTTGTAACATTGATCGTTACGAGGTAAAGCAATTATCTGTTTTATTAGTGGGGAAAAGAAAGTAGTAATAAACCATGAGATGTTCAGTGACGAAAGTAAGAAAAACTGTTTCTATTATTAGAAAAGCTGTGTTCACGTTGCTTTCATGGCAGAACACTGCAGCTTTAGTTGCTCTTATACAAGAAAAATAAAAGTTAAACTTGGTAAATAATCCTTATACTATCCATAAATTGTGGATTTAACTTTTGCGTAAAGTGCACAAATGGTCCCCGACTATGGATTATTGATTTTCTAAGTCCTTAGATTACTAAAAACGACAACATGATCAGTGGGCAATTGGATTTTGTTTTGTTGAGTAACTCGATAATTAAAAGTTACAAAGTGGTCATTTGACTATTTATATGTTCTAAAATCATCATTGTTGTTAAAAAATTGACGGTTATCTAAACAACAACAACAACAACAACAAAACCCAATTCTCATATGTATGGGGTAAGGGGGAGGTAGGGTAGTAGGCTACCCCCAACGCCAGGTTGAGAGTAGCTTCCGTGGAAGACCTCCGGCAGTCAGAAAATTAAAAATTTAGATAAAATGCAATGCATGTATAAATAAATACATAAATACATAGCTAAACAGTATTCATATGCAGTCATTAAAATCATATGTGCGTCTGTAATGGGAATTAATCCCTGCATAATAATCCCTGCGAAAGAATCTCTGCATATAGACAGAAACATATAAAAAGTATAAGTCATGGAAAATACTACAAAGACATTAAAAGAAGACAGAGATGATACACCCTATAGATGTGACCCACACTACTCGACTACCCTAGTCTTTAGCCTCCATATTTTCCTATCAGAGGTCATGTCTTCGGTAAGGGCTAAATCCCTCAAATCAGATCTCAAGCAGTCTTCCCACTTTCGCCTTGGTCGTCATTTCCTTCTGGCACCGTCGACTGTAATCGACTCTACCCTCCTTACCGCATCCGACGGTAGTCGCTTAAGGACATGCCCAAACCACCGTAGTCTTCTCTCCCTCAATTTTTCGGAAACAGACACCACCCCCAAGGACATCCTAATAGCAGAGTTTGTCGTCATATCCCTCAGAGTCCTACCACATGTCCATCGAAGCATTCTCATTTCTGCGGCCTCAATCCTCCTTACGTGATCCTTCTTGGTTGCCCAACATTCTGATCCATACAACAGCGCTGGTCTTATTTCCATTCTATAAAATTTTCCCTTAAGTTTTAGAGGGACCTTATTGTCACACAGAACTCCAGTAGCGGCCCTCCACTTTAGCCATCCCGTCTTTATACGGTGTGTAACGTCATCATCTACACCCCCATCTTTATGTATCATAGACCCTAGGTACTTGAAACAATCCTTTGAGGGGAGAACGTGTCCTTCTATGCATACTTCTACATCTTCATCGTTTTGGTTCCCATTGAAGTTTGAACATAAATACTCTGTCTTTTCAATATTGATCCTTAAACCTTTTTCTTCCAAAGCAGTCTTCCAGGTAGCCAGTCTACTATTCAACTCAGATTTTGTTTCAGCAACTAAGACAATGTCGTCAGCTAAAAGCATACACCATGGTACACCGTCTGGTGTCGCACAATAGATGTCGTCCATAATCAAGGCGAAGATGTAAGGGCTAAGAGCCGACCCCTGGTGGAGTCCGATTTTCACCGGGAATGCCTCGGTGTCGCCAACTGTAGTCCTGACGTAAGTAGTAGATCTACAGTATATATCACGAATCGCACGGATATAAGCAGTTGGGATCCGTCTCGTTTCCAAAGTCTTCCAGATCGTATCGCGGGGAACACTATCATAAGCCTTCTCAAGGTCAATGAACGCCATGTGAAGATCTCTAGACTTTTCCCTATATTTCTCCATAAGCCTTCGAAGTAGATGAATCGCCTCCGTGGTAGACCTGCCTGGCATAAAGCCAAATTGGTTTTCCGAAACCCTAGTAACTTGTCTCAACCTAGCCTCTATCACCCTTTCCCATAGCTTCATGGTATGGCTGAGGAGTTTAATACCTCTGTAGTTACCACAACGTTGGGGATCTCCTTTATTTTTATAGATTGGTATCACCGTAGACTCTCTCCACTCAACTGGCATCTTGGCAGTCTCTAAAATAATATTAAAGATGTTGGTCAACCACTTAACTCCCTCTTCTCCTAGGGCCAACCACACAGTGATAGGAATTTGATCAGGACCGACAACTTTGTCCCTTCCCATCTTTCTAAGAGCCATTTTGACTTTCTCAAACCCAATCCTACTTGTAGGGCAGTCATTGGCCGTAGTATGATAGTCGGCTAACCCATCAACGATACTATCTCTACATGGAGAGGCACCGTCATTAAATAAGCCAAAGAAGTAACTACCCCAAACCCTCCTAATATCGTGATCTTTCGCTAAAAGAACACCATTGTTGTCCTTAATAAACCTAATGTTACCTAGATCCTTTTTCCTAATCTCCCTAGATTTTGCAAGTCTGAAGATGCCATTTTGTCCTTCCTGGTGTCTAATCTCTTGTACATTTCCTTGTATGCCTTATCCTTTGCTTTAGCTACCGTTTTCTTGGCTTCCCGCTTTGCCTCCTGGTATCTTTGTTTAGCTCTCGACCTTTCTTCGTCGTCATTGCATTGTAGAAACTCCTTGAAGCAAGTTTGTTTTGTCTTCACCTTAGTTTGGACTTCGTCGTTCCACCACCACGATTCTTTATGTTCCTTGGCCTTCCCCGTCGACAACCCAAGGGTATTTTTGCCAACATCTCTGATGGAATTTGCCATATTTTTCCATAACATATCTGCATTTTTTGAGTTTGTAGTTTCAAAACTTGTAT